CCCCAAAACCCCAAAACCCCAAAACCCCTTAATTAGAACTTAGATTGAAATAAAGCATGTTTAGATATAAATATAAATGGAAGACTTCTTGAAACCTCCAAGTCAAACTATCAACCTCATTACTTCTGAAAACATTCCTAAAAGAATGATCCCTCTCCAAAAATCCAGTAAAACTCTAGTGCGTAAGCTGATAAACGAAGAGAAATAACTTTCAATCAAATGCATTCTTAACTCCAACGAAGGATGAATTCTCTGACTCTCTAAAACCCATAACCCTGCTGATTCCCCAAGTAGCTCAAGTGGCGCATCTATCTTCAAAAAAGGGTGAAACATTTAAAAGTAATATCTGCTTGATCTTGTAGGCCGAACAGATATGAAAATTCCTCAAATAAAAGCAAACAACAAATAACTCCGTCCGAATTGCTTCAAAAGTAACCTCAAATGATAGTGAAAGTAAGTCTATTTTCGGTGAAAATTTTGATTTTATCCTTATTTTACACACCAAAGAAACGACTTAATTAATCTCCATAATTATAGTAAGAATGAGGAGACAAAATAGATTGAGAACCTCTGCTGGCTACAAATTACGCAGGAAAAACTTTCAAAGGTCTAACCAAAAACCACTCCATGATGGCTCTAAATAAGAAAGCAATTTGAATTAACATTTAGAAAATCTAAGAAATAAAGCTCAGAAACCAGACTATAACAAAATACCGTATTTCTTCTATCCCTACAGGAAGGAACTGTTGGCTGACAATAAAGACAGGATGTCATTCTCAGATAGTTCCGACCATGTAAATACGCTTTGCTAAGTATAGCCCTTTGAAAAATGGACAAGAATTACAAACTTAATAATAGGTAACTCTTCCCGACACCAACATAGATAAAAACAAATAAGGGTTTTAATCTTTTGTGAGACACTCTTCAGAATAAACCAGTTTTTCAAAAAATTAAATAAAAGAAAAAGCAAGAACTCTGCTGCCAAGAAGTATGACTCTGACAAGATGAAGAGTCACTTGAAGTCTAGACAGGCATCTAATTCTTATGGCAAAACTAATCGGCTCAGAGGTGACAGTCTCTCTAAGAGTGAGTGCTTCCCTAATTCATAGGACTTAAACTATCTACAATGTATGGACTAGAAGTCAAGGAGAAAAGTAATTTTGGAATTGGAATGGTCTCTGTCAAACAAAGTCCAGGTCTGCCAATGACAAAGAGAGGTTCATTTAAACCAACAGAAGCAATGTCAATCATGAATGCATCCATGAATGTGGATAAAACTCCTCTAGAAAAGGAAATTCGCCTCAGAGTTTCTGCAGTGGGCTTAGAGAAACTCCCTGGAGTCGAAGAAGAAGGTATTGTCTTTAAATCAAATATTTAGAGAAAAACATCTTAATTTCAAAGGTAGGATTTGTCAAATCTATGTAAAGTTAGAAGAAAGTGACAACGTATTAGCAGACTCTGTCTCTTCTCAAACTGAGCTATCAATCAACTTGAAAATAAAAGTTTGTGAGCCTGATAAATACTTCCAACAAGAGAGCACATTGAACAAGTAAAATCAAAATAAATTTGTAGTAAATAAAAGTGCCAGTCTTACAGACCCTTCAGAGAGACTTAGTAAGCCAACTAATTTTTTAATCAACATTTTATAGCAAAGATGGAGAAACACATTAATTCTCAAGAAGGAGACTCCCCTGACGTTGATTCCCCTGAAGTTGAGTTTCTAGAAGCTGATTCTGCTAAAGATGAAGAGGATAATTACCTTACTGTTGAGAGAACAAAATTCCACCGGTAAGACATTAAATCTTATTTTAGAAACCGGAGTAAATCCACAAAAATTCAAATGAGCAAGAGCAATGACAATCTTAACTACATAAAGGATAATATGGATAAGGTTTCAACTAATGAAAAATAACGTCAAACAAACCTCCAAAAATCTTAAAAAATTCAAATGGTACAATAAGGGTAGATCCTTCACTAAAAGTATCATTTATTTTTTAATTCAACAGGAAAAGCAAGAATGGGAAAGCACATCAAAGCAGTAAAACATAAGCATAAATAAACAAATCAAGCGAAAGCTGACAAGAGCATCAACAATAAAACATAAGTGAGAATATAGCCTAATGCAATAGAAATCTCGATTTAGTACCTGTAATCAGAAAGATGTCGTTCGACGCTCCTAAAAACTTTGATAAACTTCAATTACAGAAGGAAATTGTAAAGAAGAGCAAGAGACCCCTTAAAAGATGTATCTTCTTAATAATGTTAGTAGTAACCAAATAAACCTTCAAACTTGGTTCCTTTTCCAATATCAAAACTGAGCTCAAACATTCAATTCTTCTCAAGGGATTATAAAAGTAAGCTTTTCATTTAATATCAGATCAAAACCTGGCTGGTGCTAATTTCCTCCAAATGATATCAAAACCAGTACGCTTTGGCTCCAAAGAAGGAAGTTCTTACAAACCCTCTTCAACACGTAGAAGTGAATTCAGCAATAGGCTAAAATTCAAGAACTCTATGAGTTCAAACAGACTCTACTCCGCTACTCTAAATGTTGAAAATTCTGAATCATTCCCAATCAACAAAGGAATGTATGCTACAAAATAACAAGATCAAAGATAAGCTTGACAAAAATACAAAGACATCATACACGAGGAAAGCTGGAAAGTATTCAGAAATCTTAAGAATAATAAAATCGAAGCTATTCTCTGTCGTAAGAAACTCTCCTCCTCTTTGTAAACCACTCGTCAGCTTAGTAATTAAAGAAAAAGAAGGAAAATTAGCTAAGAGGAAGCTTAGTCTTCAAGAAGACCGTAAATAAGATAATCAAGAAGGTATCAAAAGCCCTCCAGCAGAATTAGCAAGTATACTTATAAGGTATTTCTATTTCTTATGTTTAGAAACTCTCCACTGAAATTATGCAAAAGAAAACTACTTTTGACTCTTCTCTACTGGGCCAAGATCTCAAACCTCCATGTCTTGAGAGGCCCATTGAGAAAAATCAAAAGAAAAAGACTCATTTAAGGCCTAAAACAGGTGGGAGAGATCCTCACCTGAGAATGATTCAAAAACTAAAGGTATGACCACGAGTAGACTTAGCATGTATTTTTATATTCCATTCTTCTATCTTTCTGTTTATAAGCATGTAAAGTCTTAAAATCTTAATGTAATCTTTATTTAGTCTCATTGATCCAGTACAATGCCAGAAAGAATTAAAAGCAAACTAAATTCAAAAATTACAAAGCGAACTCGCCCAGAGGATTTATATTCAACCCCAATAAAGAAAATCTTACCTCAAAAAGATCAAACATTAATTTTCAAAGAGCAGCCAAAGACTAAAATTAGAATAAAGAAAAAGGTAGCAAAGAAAAGGAAAGTAAACACTAGCATTAACACTCCTCCTGAAATTCCAGAAATTAAGTTCAAAATCGTACCAAAAAGAGTTTTTAGCGCTGACCAACAAAGACCTCCTCAAAGAGAAGTGGCCAGAAATAACTTTATAAACATAGAAAGCAAATGAGTCCCTGCTGAATGCAAAGAAGCTAAGCCTTCTCAAAGGAACAGAAAATACATTTTCATGAACAAACAAGAATTTGATAACACCTTTAATTCTTCTCAGGACAAAGCAGACCCCACCCAAAATAATCAGGGAGCACAGTCAATAACTCACCAGCACAAAAATAAGAAACCAACATTAAATCCAAAAGTAAGGATTGCTTTTAGAGAAGTACAGCATTCATCAAAGCTTGGCCAAGTTGACTGAATTAGTTTACATTCAAAAGTCGTTAGATTTGCACAAAATGCTCTTAGATTGATGTAGCCATAAGCTATCCAAGAATTGTGTTTATCTACAAAATTATTAACAAACTGGGAAAACGTGTTAAAATTTATCCAGATTAATTACTGGTGCTATCTGCCAGTCTTGACAAGTTTTATTTTAAATATATCGGAATTTAACAGTTATGCAAACCGTCACAGTATGGATTAAAATACTCCAAAATTTTATTTTTTTAAGTGATAGGTGTTCAACATTTTAGCAAAAGTTACCTGATTATGACTATGAATTGTGTTAATAGAATACTAAACATAACATTTTGGTGAGCAAAACAATAAGAAATCAAAAGCAAAATAGAATGGCCACAAAATGCTTAATGCCAAAAAGACCAGTAAAATTGAACAGGAAGATGAATACTCAAGTAGACGAGAGCGTGACTCTTAAAAGTACTTTTTAATCTTAATATCTAGAGAAACGGTTGTTTTCGCCAATTATATATTCTAAAAATAAGCTGTAAATTTCTCTTGAACTCTAGAATGGATCAAGAATCAATCAATGAGAAAAAGATATCAGACTTAAAGTTCGCTTCTGTTCTTAATAACAAGCCCAGAGTTATGAGCAGAAATCAAAAAAGTGTTTGCAGAGGTTATAGAACAGGTATTTTCATCCTTAAATGGTTTATCTTTATAGAGAAAAATACATTTTCCAACATTGTTGATACCAAAATTGCATCCACTAGTATATATTCATATACATATTTATAACCTCTTTAAATATTTTGGGGTTTTGGGGTTTTGGGGTTTTGGGGTTTTGGGGTTTTGGGGTTTTGGGG